CCAGTCTAACCGTCTGCCTACCACCAACCAGACAAATTCTGGTTGATTTTCCTCCCTTTTTTATAACAAAGCCCTAATCCTGTCTCTTTGCAAATGACACCAGTTTGGAGCAGAAGCACCAAGCCTGGGGTGGAGGTGTCTACAGGCTGTGTTGTTTCAATGGATTGGGTTATCAATAGATTGGTGTCTTCAAGGTAGGGGGATCTCCATGGTGTTGGATCTCTTTGGGGTTATGAGGTCTCCAATGGGACAAGGTCCCCATGGGCTGGAGGGCATGTCCGTTAGTGCCATATCTATATGTTTCTTGAACACCTCCACGGACAGTGATTCAACCATCTCCCTGGGCAACCCGTTCCAACACATGACCACTCTTTCGTAGAAAAAATCTTTGCTAACTGACACTTCCTACCAGCTTGTTGTCATCTGCAGACTTAAGTAAGTGCATTCAGTCCCCTCATCCAGGTCATCTAAAAAGATACTTAACAGGACACTCCCCATTACCAACCCCTGTGGAACACCACTCACGACCAGTCACCAGCTGGATGTAACTCCATTCACCACTACTCTCTGGGCCTGGCCATCCAGACAGTTCTTCACCCAGCAAAGAGTGTATCTGCCCAAGCCATGGGCTGCCAGCTTCTCCAGGTGAATACTGTGAGACAGTGTCAAAGTCTTTGCCCTGGGAACAGTGAGGTCACAGCAAGTGGGACCCTACAGGCTGTGGGGCCGAGGGATGGGGACTGGGAGCCCCTTTCCCTACCTCAGGGTAAATGTGTTAACAAGTTTTATTGACATTTTCAATGTATTTTCAAACAGAAATGAGAAAAAGCAAATTGCAAACAGTTATGGCAAAATATTGAGGACATGGTTAAAAATGAAGTTACCAGTTAATGTGTTCTGGAAGGAAAATAAGGCTGTGAGCAGGGAATAAGAACATTCCTGAGCAAATCATAGTAATTTAATGAAAAATATTAAAAATATGGTTAGAACAACCTAGAGAATTAATACGTTTAGGAAAGAAAATAGTAGTGTTACTAGGGAACAGCAGAATTTCTGAGAAAATTGCAATATTGGAGACGTGGTTAGAAAACTAGACCTGTGAATATATCATGGAAGAAAAATAATGGTGTGAGAATGGAATGGAGATTCCTGAGTAAAGTGCAGTAACTTAAAGAAATAGTAAGCAATACAATTGAAAACTAAACCTGTGAGCAAGATTCCAGTCATAAGCCCAGGCTTTGTGCTTCTGCTCCAAACTGGTGTCATTTGCAAAGAGAGAGGATTAGGGCTTTGTTATAAAAAAGGGAGGAAAATCAACCAGAATTTGTCTGGTGATGACA